CGGCGGCGCGGTCCGCTAAGTCTCGGGGAGGAGGGCGCGCACCGACCCGACGTTACCGGGACCGGGACGTGCTTGTTTGCTTTGGGGCCGGGGCCGGGAGAAGAAATGCCTTCCTCTGGCCGGGTGCGGTAATTTAAGCTTTTCCCCTGTAAAGACCTGAATCTTGTCATTTAGTGTCTGCCCGTTAATTTTCATTAGGGAAGTAAGATCGCCGAGGGTTAAATTAATGTTTCTGAGGCTTTGGTTCTCCAGTCAGAAACCTGACAGTAGCTCCCCTCTTCTTTAGAGGAACGCTGCGTTTTTTCCTCCTAAGCGGTGAATAAACCACCACCCCCCTCCCTAGTCCCCGCTCTCAGATTGTGTCTGTTCAGGAAAAAGAAAAACTTGTTCTCCCGGATGTGTCTCCGCATGGATAGAGCAGTAGTCCTGGTTAATTACTCAGACTTTAATGAATACAACAAACAAGACACTAAAAAAAAAGCCAAACCCATGCGAGCTCTTTAGCATGGTCACGGTTAGCTGCCAGTTGTCCTATAACAGTACTGCGTAGTACCGTTACCATTAATTGTATGCATCTTTTGACGAAGTCATGTGCTGCCTCATTAGTTATTAACCATGGTGGAATACACCTGCAAGAAGAAATTCAAGGCTGCCTGAGGGACACCGAAACAAGCCAATGCCTGTAAGCCGTGAGCAAGCGCAGTATGTGCAGATAGACCCAGTTCTGTGAATGTGGGTAGCATATATCGTAATTTAAATCAAAGCGGTTTTGATGGTTTTATTTGGGAGCGAGCCTAAAATAGAAAAGAGCAGTTGGAGGCAGAGATGTTGAGGCTAGCATGTCAGAAAAACTACTGTGCGTGAAAGTGAGTTATTTCTGATTTTAATACCAACTCTGTGCTACCTAGTGCTTAATCCCAATTTTGTCACAGCCTTCCCATCTGTAAAGTGAGAGTCTGAAGTGAAAATTTTTGTATGAAAGGCTCTGTTTTTCACAGTAGTCTTTATCCTAGTAACGACTGTATTGTGCAGGCATGAGAAGTGATTTGAAGATGAGGAGTGGCCTGAGAAACATTTTGCTTAACCATTCGAGCCAAAACTTTACTCGAAGAGCAAGTTTTAACCTACCTTTACATCTCGCACATGAGTGGCTACTGCAAGATTGCAGTTGTTACGGCTGTGCGTTTCCATAGTTCACTCTGTCACACGTTGCATTAGTGCAGTTTAGTTTTCACTGACCAGTATTTGAGATGTCTAAGTAGAATGTTTCTCTGTTTGTACCTCAGTGCTTTCTGGTCCTTTGCAGTTTCAGGCACAGCCGATTTAACTACAAAATATTTCATTTCTGTCTGAGTGAGGATGGTTACGGGTGGTAAAAGCTACCTGAGCAATCTGCAGGCGCTTGGGTGGCTGGTCTTGAGCTTTGGACTGCCTTGGCTAGGCTGATTAAAGCGTCTTCCCCTGGTAAAGCAAAGCACAGTTCTCTACCCATTCGAACAGGTGCTTCCAGAGTGAGGAACCTTTTTTGCTTTTCCCATAAAAGCCTTTCAGATGTATGGAAGAAGCTGTTGCTGGGGAATCATCAACTTGCACTTATGTATATTTATAAATTTTATATAATTTCTTTCCAAAAGGCAGGTGTTAAACAGTGAGCATATGGGAGGATCGTTTTATCTGCTTTGTACGTCATCTGGTGATAGGTTGAAATGAGACACTTAAAACACACAAGGAAATTCTGTTATTGCAGGGAGGGGCAATAAGGAATACATCATCCGATAGGAATGCTATAAATTGTTGTTTGCTGTCATGATAAATGTAGTGAAGATTTGGCTGATTTCTTACATTTGCTCTTTCTAAGAGTGTCTGCATTGCCTTACTGTCCTGTAACAAAGCACATACAGTCAGTGGCTTAAATGAGACTTCAGGAGTACCAGTATGAAAGGAGGAGGGAAGCATGTCCCTACTCTCTCTGCTCTCTTCTTCTTTGTAAAGTGGCAGCATGACTGTTCTTATGGAGGTGTATGCCTACCTGCTTTGACTACTAGGTGTTGCACCGCCTGGAGAGGAGTTGGAATAAGGAATGAGGTAATGTCTGGAATGTGTTTCTTTGAAAGCTTGCAAGTGCATCTGTGCTGTGGCACATGAGTAAACCAAGGTAACAGTTGCTGATAGCTGTAAAGCTGCGAGCATTGGCTAGGTGAACTCTGGTGACTTTCCTGTAAGGACTGTGGAGACGAAGCTGCTTTTCATGTTCACATTATGCACTTTAAAATGTCTACAAAAACTTGGAAATTAGGAAGTTTATTGAAAGACCCAAGAATATGCATAGCAAGTCAGAAGTATCCTGCAGCAGGCTATAGCTGTTAAGTGGATGCCCAGGTGTAAGCTGTTAAGAACAGCACAAGCACGTGTGACGCTATCATGCATATATACCATACTCTTCCAGTTGTCAGCTATTCTCAACCTGTGGACTTTCCACTCCAGACCCAGTTTCTGTGTATTGAGCGGTCCTCAGTGGGTGCTCTTCCATAAAGCATTTGGTATCCACTTGAACCCTTGTAGTTAATTTAGGCGTATCAATGTTTTATGTATCATTTTTATATACCAAGGATTTTCTTGTTAAGATTTGTATTTTAGTATCTCAAGATAATATCCCATACATGGTGTTCTTAGGCAGACAGGGAATACCAGGTCATCTGTGGAACTGAAGGAGCCCTTGGAACAGATGGGAAAATGCACCTTAGTTAGTTAGTATTTTACTACTATACAGATGTAATAGCTTTAAAGTGGCTTAAGTGCATGAAGGCTGAGGTGTTAAGACATTGATTTAAGGGAAATACTGTAGTTTATCCCTGCAAAAGTTGGGCAGACACGTCCTGGTTTGAAATGCCTCTATTAATTGGCATGTTTCAAAGTCAACTTAAAATCGTATTTGTCCATGAGACTTCTGTGTGATGATCTCTGTGACAGAGATCTGATCTGTTCCTGTTTATGATTGTGATAACTTCATGCATGATTTACCTTTTTTGCCTGTGCCATCAGCTATTCTGCCTTCTTAAGCTAGTGCAGTGGTTTTGCTTCGCATGACAGTGTGAGGCAAGGCGAGTTGCACTGTGCTTGAAGCTGCTATGCCCAGAGTCCTGTACAGCCAGTTTGTGCAAACTTGTAACATTTACAGTTGCTTGCAGTTCTCATTACTTTTGTGGGTTTTTCCTCCCTTCCCTGCCTCCCTTCTGAGTGAAATTAAGATTTGGATCTTTCAAACTTTGTAATTATTTTTGTAGTGCCTTGTTTGGAGAGAATGCAGTAATTTTTAAAGAAAACAGAGGCTATTAAATCCTTTTACTGGTTTAAAGTGGATTGTTTGCCTTGCTTTTAAGGGCTACTAGGCATGCAGGCCTGGGGTAGCTGGTCCCAGAATTCAGGCTGGGCTTTATGGAAAGGTTTCCACCACCATTTCTGCATTTCTTCATTAATGTGGTGAACCAGTAAGAGCACCATTCAGCTGGTGAAAAGAAGTTTTATTGCAAGCTGAAAGGGAGCACTGTCATTAAAGTCTTTGCTTTTATTTCTTTCCATGATGGTGCTCTTACAACTTTGTCGGAAAACACCACCACCGCCTCCCACCCCCAATCCTACAGCTTTCCCATACAAACTGTACAGCTTTCTATGATCACACCTATTGGAACAGCAGTAGAAAGTCAACTATATGGTGGCTTGGTTCTGGCATAACTCAAAACAAAATGTTGGCTGTGTTTTGAAACATGGTGGATTTGTCCTTTTTTGAACTCTGCGTTTAACAAAATGAAGACAAAGGAGGGATATGTCATGTAGGATTAATTATTTGATCATATTTCCCTTAAGCTAACAGAACTGTAATTTACCTGTTTCCAAGAGAATGCAATTGGTCCTTTCAGTACTTTTTTTACCCTCTATTTTGTCTTTAACCTAATGATAACCACCAATCAGTTGTGGAAGAGTTGTCGTTGCTTTTATGTGTATTTGTAGTTAAGTGTCTAATAATAAACCTAAGTTCAGGTTTCTCTTTCCCAAGCTTTGGTGGAGCTCGGAGAAGAATGCAGAACCTGATTGTGCATCTAGCAGATCTGGAGTTCTGCCTTGCTCTTCCTTAGGGGTGATCCTGCAGGGATGAAGTATATATATAGGGTGTAGAAAACTCATCAAGATCCTGTGCAGGTAACTGAGTTGTTAGTGACGTCAGTCCCTTTGAGTTAAGCTGTCATTGCAGGAGACATGGTATCTTGGATGTTTAAATTATTAATGTATGAACTAAAAAAATGTAACTTTTTCTCCCTCTAAGAAATGCTTTCTCTTGTTCAAGTCTTAGGACAGTAGAAAACCCTAGCATAAAAAGAATGGGCAAAATTCATACATTTTGGGGCGCAGATGTGAGTGCACATACATATGTCTAGTAATTCCCAGCAGTTATCCTTGTTCTACTAAGCAGCATTATTTTTTTTTTCTTAGTGTAACATGTTACTTTAGAGTTTGGTTTAATTTTTTTTGTGGAGGAATTAATGGGGTCTATTCCCCCTCCCCCCCCTTTAGAAATATGACCAACAGCTAATTCTGTGCTTTCTTTTGCTTCCTGTAGGCTGGCACCGATGCGATTATATACGCTGTCCAAACGGCATTTTGTTCTGGTCTTTGTAGTATTCTTTCTTTGTTTTGGTTTGACAGTCTTCATAGGAATAGCAGGTAAGGATGTTGCCTTTTTAAAAGATTACAGTTCTTGTATGCTTTGTCTAAACCTGTTGGTATTTACAGCTGTATTTAAATGCTAATGAGCTTACTGCCCCTGAGATGTCTGAGGAAGCATTACTTTTGACAGGGAGGGGGAAGTGTTTCTTCCATCTCAGTTTTTTCATAGGAGTACTACCTACACAGATCTGGTATTTCCAACTGCTTTGCAGGGGAGAGTCAGTAAGGTAGAACAAAACCAGCTTCATTGTAATGTAATTTTCCAGCACACCGCTACATTAATTTTCTTCTTTGTGTTTCTATCTGTAAAATGGTGGTGCTAATACTTGTTTTCCTGTGAGGAAATTGATAACTGTTTGTAAAGCCTTCTAAATGTTTGGGTGATAAATGCCTCAGAAATATAAAATATTTTAGTAATGTAAAAATATGAACTTCTGGAGCTCATATATGAGCTTAGGTCTCTGGTTTCAAAGACCTTTGTGGGAGTCATGATGTGATCTGGGAGGCTAAGCACTTAGTGCCTGGATACTTATCCTGGAGATCAGAGAGATCTGTAGAAGTCTGGTTGACAAAGATGCAGAGTGTCATGAGGCAGATGGAAAGCGTGGGAGCCTTCTGTAGTTCATGCCAGAGAGCTTTTCCAGGTCTAAAACGTACTTGAAAAAGAAGTCAGTGTGCTATCACTGCAGTGTTAGTAAGCTAATACTCTGCTGTCAGGATAGCTTTGTCAACGCAGAAGTTAAGTGTTAGACAGGGAGGGACTTGTACTTACTAAGCAACCCGCCCCCCAGGTAAGAATTATTTAAGGATGTCACCACCTCCCACCACTTTACTGCTTATTTCCAGGTCACCCAGCACGTTCTCCTGTGCCACCCTCTGACACCTCTTGACCTGTCTGCAGGGTTGTCTTTACCTCTGCCCTGTCGTTCACTTCCTTTAGAATGAGTTGGGCTGCCCAGGCCTGGCACTCATCTCCTCCTGCCTGCCTTGGAAAGAAAGGGGGGTTAATTGGAGGCAGCTGTTTGGACTTTTTGTGCCCATCCGTGCTCGCAGGCAGTACATTCTTTAAAAGAGCATTAAATAATAAAATTTGTCTGTGAAATAAAACCTTCTTTCCTGCTGTTTGATTTATTGTAGCAGCCTAAGGTCCAGACAGACTTCAGTTCATACAGGTTAACCACTGATATTCCTGTGACTTGCCTAAGGATGCTGAAGGGCATTATTTGGCCACTAAAATACTGTATAAATACATTTACAAAAATGCATTTTATATGAATGATAAAGGGAAAAAAATGGAATTACTTAATTTAGTGTCATTTGGCTATTTGGCTTAAAAACTGAACCAGATCTGTAATTGTGTATTTATACTGCCCAGCTGCAAGAAATGCAAGAAAGTTGGGTTTTTTTTATATAAGACTAGGCAAAAAGCAGTGCTCCTGGAAGAGAAAACTTGAGCATTTTGTTCTTAATCGGTAGCGGAAGCTGAAAGAGCTGCGTTGGTGTGTTGCATTGCATCTATCTGCAGAGTGATCTGCTGATGTCATTGCCTTTGGTCCAGGGGACTTGGCTGCTGTAAGCAGCGCTTGGTCTTCTGTACCCTGCTGAGGTCCCAGGGCTCGCCTGTGATCCCCTTCAGGAGCTTGTATGGCTGTGGGATTCTTGTCCCTGTAAGACTGGTTTGCTGGATAGTTTTGTTGACAAAGCGTAAACACAATTCATTATTATACCTTAATTTTTTTTTTAAAAGAATGCTGTTTACCTTGGGAGGAGACCCACTGGACACTTACTGTCATGTCTTTTGCAGCTTTTAGTGACAGCTCCTTGCTTCCTGCGTAGAGGGAGGGGCACTAACAATAGCGTGCTGGCTCATTAGAGGGTGCAGTCTGAGCAAAACTCACAACACCCACTAAGTAAACGAAAAAGTGGGAGATACATCCATATTTTCTGTGCTACTTGAATATGCAGTTGCCCATACTCAACATCTCTATCTGCAGTTTGGGAAGCCTAGCAGAAGTCTTGCTTCTCATCTGAGAAAACAAGACAGTTCAATCTGAGATGGCTGTTGCTCTTCAGTTCTTATAACCCAAGACAGATGCAGACTTGGCTGTTTGTTTTTTTTTTCCCCAAGTTGCACTCACTTTCTTTCCCTTTTCCCAATGAGTTTATCTTATCTTTAGGGTGAGACAAGTGCAAGGAAAACCCAAGATGCAGAGCTCATTTTCTGTACCTGTGCGGTTTTCCTGTTCACCACCTCAGGGTGGCTCTTTGCTTTCAGATGTGGTTCTGTTAACTGAGCAAGACTAAAAGAAAAACAATAACAATGTAATTTAATCACCATATTTTAATAATATGACCACAGCATCATTTTGGTCAGTTGCTTTTTAAAGCTTTAATATGTTGCTTGCTAGAGGAGTAGCAGTTATAGCAGTGGAACCTCATTATTTTTTTGGTTGCTGTACTTAAAAACTGGAACTATGATCTCTCTGCCCCAATATTGGTTCATATCTTCTCGTAAAAAAAAAAACCACCCAAAAAAACCCCAAACAAAAAACCACAAACTTTTTAAAAAGGCTCATTCTATTGTTTTGGTTAAGACTTAATTACTGACATATGATGACTTCTCAACTGTGAGCACTTACTGAAATTGAATTATGCTTTTCAAAACAAAAATGCCTTCCAAAAATCTGCCCTGTTTATATGTACTTGAGAACTGAAAAGTTCAGTGATGTAGAACTGACTTTATCGTGGGTGGCTGTTAGTGAAGTTGAACTGTAATTCTAACATGAAGCTTTGAGGGTGATGAGTGAAATTCTTCATTTTTCCATTTGAAGTCTGTAAGATGGTTAATATTGTCATTAGAGTGGTTATGGAAGCCCAAGCAATGCTGCATGTTTAGAGCTGTCATGACAGCTAACCTAAAATGCTTCTTTGCACAGAATGATCCCACATCGCTCATTTATAAACTTCCTTCTTTTCCATTATTTCTCTGTAGTAACTTTGAAGTCCGTGGTCTTTGTGAAAAACTGCTTTGCTTGCATAAATTTTTAATACTAAATTTGTGGCTGAAACAGCATGTTTTGAGGATTAATAAATCACATTAAATTGCCAGGCTGAATACACAAGGGGAGAGACCATTTGGACAGAGAAATCTTACTGTGACTGGGAAGCCTCTAGAGTGACCCAAATACACACATATATGTGTCTTGCCTATGTCCCTACCTGCTATACGTCTCCTCTGTGTTCGTTCACACCCTGGTATATAGATACAGACCTTTTCCTACTCTTCCCTTTCATTTTTGTGTTTCAGTCCTTTTGTGTATGTACACATGCATGCATGACTGCATACTTTTGTGCATGTACATGCATGCATTCTTCTCCTCTGCAGTACCATGTGTTCTTGCATACCCAAGGCGGCTACGGGGAAATCGTACCGCCGACTACAACTACCTTATCAGAGGGTACAGAAGATGGGGCTAGACTCTTCTCAGAGGTGCATGGTGATAAGATGAGAGGCAACAGACACAAGCTGAAACACAAGAAATTCCAGTTAGATATTAGGAAATTTTTTCATACAATAAGGGTAGTTAAATACTATAACAGTTTGTCCAGGGAGGTTGTGGGAGTCTCTGCCCTTGGAGGTGTGGAAGACTTGACTGGACATAGCCCTGAGCAACCTGATCTAATTAAACAAGAGGGTGGACTAGATGGCCTCTGGAGGTCTCTTCTAACATCAGTTATAATTTTATTGCTTCCCATTTACTGCATACATAACTAGAGGTAGGTGAGGGAATGGATGCAGTTGATCAGTGCATGTTAAGTGTGTGTATGTCTGTATCCAGGCAGACTGGAGGAATAAAAAGTCTGGTAGTGAGATGAACATCTCCCACTACAGTTGGACATGAAACTCCATTGATTAAATGGATTGTCTGTTCTAGGAGGAATTGTTTATAGAACTTTTATGCAATTATGTTTATTTATGTGATGATATACATAATATATTATAGCCCCAGATTTCTGTAGAAAAGGAGAGGCCCAATCTGAGTAGACTGAGAGCTGTTTCTAAACAAACGTGGGCATCTTGGCTTGAACAGACCACTGTGAGAGTCCCCTAGCCAGAAAATACTGTTACTGTGATTGTACAAGCAAGTATACAACATGTACATAAAAAGGCATTAGCGTCATGCACTCAAATACAGTGGGATGTGTTTGCCCTGGTACCCGTGCCTTGAGCGCAATACATTATGGATGCTATGCTCTATGTAAATCAGGTAATGGTAGCAGGTTGGCTATAGAAACTTTGTAGTGCAATTAAATACGCTGTTTTTTCAGGTGGTTTTTGCAACCCTTGTTGAGCTTCAAGTTGCTGTAATAGCCGTGCCACTGGTGATTAGCTAGCTTTGTCTGTAGCTGATTACTTTCATGACTGCAGTGTATGGCTTAGCTTGGGAAAAATACCATGTGGTTTGTTGTCGTAGTTTAGAGTACACATGCAGGGCTTCTGACATGGAGTTCTTGATGTATAATTTACTTCCTATTTAATCATGCCTAGAAATACTATGGCAGAGAGGCTTAAGGAACATTCAGGCCAAGTTTATTAATGATATTGAAATGTCCTAAGTGATTTACTCTTCAGCTTAAACATGTGAAAAGTGGGATACTATTTGCCTGCTTTGCTTGCAGGGTGGTATTTTGTAGTCTTTTGAAATCCTATATTTATGTCATTACTCATCAGTAATATGCATGCTTCAATATTGTTTTCTTTTTTCCTTCTTATATATTGTGTAGGTCCTAATGTAATTGAAACTTCTGTAGCAAGAACTGACTTAAATAACAGCCTAAAGGTAAGAGTTAATAAATATTGTTGGATTACATGAATAGCTTTATTTGATGTCAGTACTGTTAAACATTCCATTTGTTTCCACCCAGTTATTTTCAGTATTTAGATTTTTACTGGAAAACTTTGTGGCCACGTGGTGCTTTCTGGTGTGAAACTGAATGTGCAATATGGTACTACCACCATGTTATGAGTGGCCCAGCAGCAATTTCTAGTCTCTTACTTTTGTGAGCGGGTAAGGTAGAGAATTCTATGATGTTTCTGCACAGTAATTTCTGATAAAGTAACACTTGAGTGTTGATAGGATTCCCTGCTGAGTTCCTGTTGGAGATTCTTGTAGGTGGTCCAGAAATAGAAAGTGAAAACATAAACATAAACAAAACCAATGCTCTCAGTGGCAACTAATTATGTCCCTCTTGTGATCTTCCTTTCTGTCAGCTGGGAAGGAATATTTCTTTTTCTTGTTAACTGTTCACCACCACGTGACCAAGACATGGGATCTGGCATTCTAAGCTTTTGTATTTTGGTTCTCAGTTCTTGCATTTTTATTTCTGTCTAGCCTTTTGCTGTCAACCTAATATCTAAAGTAATTTTTGTGAAAGTGCTGAAAAGCTTTTGTTGTTTTGTTTTGATTTTTTTTTAAAGTAAATTTTCTTTAAATACACTAGAATGTTTCTTTTTTTGATCTGTTATTCACCTATGTATGTTTGGATCAGTACTGTATTATGGGCGGATTTTTTTTTTGTTAAAAACATTTTTATATCAAATAAGAAAAGTCTTTCTGCATGTAAATTTTATCTGTTAACGGTATCTTCCATGCTTTTGAAATGAAAGTGGGATTTTTAGAAAACCTAGTAGAAAAATAGTTGTTGTTTTCCTAATTATAGCTGAACAGGTTTAAAACTGTGTAGCAGATGAGGGGTCACAAGCCTGGCTTTTGTTATAAAGGGCTAGAAAATGACTTTTTATTTTCAGGCTAGGTCTCCGGATTTTGTTTTTCATATCTGAACTTTTTTGTTTTATTGCTGCTGCTTTT